TTTTATTATAAGCAAAACAGGCATGCTAGATTTAAGTACAAAAACACTGTAGTTAAAAAAAAAAAACAACACTATAGTAAGTTCACAGAGGTAAAGTACGATACCTACAGTGAGCTCTAGTTACACAGAAGGCTGAATATAGAATTCAAAATTGCTAGCTTCTACATCACGCCTATGTCTTTTATGATATGTACCTACCTTTGTCAAGATTCATAGACTGTACATCTCAAAATTAAGGATATATGCATCCTTCTGATGAATGTCCACTGCCAATGACAGTCTTTTGTAAGAAGAAATCAAAAACTTTTATGTAACTTTCCTGGTCCCAAGAGAAACTTACTGCAGAAGGATTATTGGATGGTAACTGAATGTTGTGTTGTCAGTGCAAGATTCTAAATCTCAGATTGCCAAATCACAAAGCTTTAATTTAGCCTTCGCTGATCATCAGTTAAAGGGAATGTATATGGAATGTATACAGAGCTGTATATAGAGATGCTGTCTTCAAAAAAAAAAAAATCATTGATGCTGGGCATGGTGGTTCACTCTTATAATCCTAGCACTTGGGTGGGAGACTAAGGCAGGATGATCTTGAGTCCCAGTTCCAAGGTAGCCTAGGCTACAGAGTAAAGATCTGTCTTAAAAAAAAAAAAAAAAAAAAAAAAGACAAAATATCTTCAATCTCAGCACGCGGGAGGAAAATGCAGGCAGATCTCTGTGAGTTTGAGGCCAGCCTGGTCTACATAGTAAGTTCTAGGCCAGGTGGTGCTAGAGGGAGACCCTATCTCAAAAAGACAACAAAACAAAACAGAACAAAAATACACAAAACGCAGTCTGTACCCAGTGATAAGGCTTCATGAGTCAGCACTTCATTAGCTGCACATAGTCTACACAGGGTTTTGATTCAGAATAGTCACAGCACTGATTGCATCCCACAGGTTGCTATGCAGTCAGTGCACCAGCACACATGATTTTAAAATGAAAGTGAGAATGTCAAGAATTGTTAGAAAGTAAATTAATTCTTTGTCTCACTTTGTACAGATGCATGGAACTCATTTCTCAAAGGAGAAAAAAGAAATTCAAAAGGAAATAGGGATCATAAATGTATTTTAAAAACCCTTTAAGAAATCAGGATGCTTGAACTGCAAGGTCAGATGGCTTGGTCTGGGGTATTCTGGATGATGTGGTAAGAAGGGAAAACATTGAAGGCAAGAGTGAAGTAAATCTACACACAACAAATTTCAGACAAGTTTTCAGCTGCACTAAGCAGAGCTGTGCCTGCCTGTTTGAAGTTGGAATCTGGCAACTGGCAATGTGTTTTAAGCCTTTACAAACAGAATGTGAAATGGAAGAATGATATCATTTACATTTTAGGAAGAGTATCTACAAAATTAGAAAAAATATAGGTGTGAAGTGTTTTTTTTTGTTTTTGTTTGTTTTTTGGGTTTTTTTTGGGGGGGGGTCTTTTTGAGGCAGGGTCTCCCTGCAGCCCCAGCTGGCCTGAAATTCACTATGTAGACCAGGTTGGCCTTATTTATTTATTTTTTTGTCTTTTTGAGACAGGGTCTCCTTGCAGTCCCAGCTGACCTGAACTCACAACGATCCACCTGCCTCTGCTGGGATTAAAGGCATGCGTCACCACAACTGGCATATTTTTTTTAATATTTTATTATTTTTATTTTATGTGTAAGAGTATATTGCCTGCATGTATGTGAGTGCACCCATGTCGTGCAATGCCATGGAGGTCAGAAGAGGGCTTTGGATTCCCCTGCAACTAGAGTTAAGGAAGGTTCGTAACCACCATGTGGGTGTTGGGAATTGAACCCGGGTCCTCTGCAAGAGCAGTCAATGCTCTTAACTGCTGAGCCATCTCTCCAGTGTTATTATTAAGTAAAATGCCTGAATGAGAGGGCTAGCTCCAGATATTTTACCAGGCAACAATAAGGTTTTTGGGCAGAAACCTGTCAAGTCAGTGTGAACAGGATACAGCAGAAGTCACACAGGCAAACCCAAAGGCAGCCAAATGAGAATGTCAGAAGTTGAAGTCAGAATGGTAAATGAAAAGCAATTATTAGATATGTCATAAAAACCTCCCAGTTTAACCATCATTGGTTCATATAATCAAAATTTAAAGGAATAAACAGCTTCTGCCAAGCGTGGTGGCACATGCCTGTACTCCCAGCACTTGGGAGACAGAGGCAGGTGGATTTCTGTGAGTCCAAGGACAGCCTGGTCTATATAGTGAGTTCCAGGCCAGATGGAGCTATAGGGAAAACCTGTTTCAAAAAAAACAAAAGTAAATAAATAAAAATAAACAGCTTCTAAAACTGTGTTATGAAAAAGGGAATCCCAGGACACTATCAATATCCAAACAATAGTTTCTAACAATTTAGAACAACAATTATGAAAATCAGAATTCAGGTATGATTTCAAGCATATGATAAATACCACTACTAAAACATTTCCCAACAAAAACAAAGTCTACTTTTCTAAATCCTTCTTTTGGAGTTCTATATTTCTATACTACCTAGAAAGGGAAAGCAAAGCAGTTCTAATCAAATAACCATGAGAATCAGGGTTAACCTTCACAGTTAATCAAAGAAAAGGTCCTAGTTGAATACCAAAAGAATCAAAAATCAAAGTATTAGAGTTTCTACAACTTTAGTATATAACCTTAGAAATTTCCTAGGGTTAGGATTTAGCTCAGTGGTAGAGCGCTTGCCTAGCAAGTGCAAGGCCCTGGGTTTGGTCCTCAGCTCCGGGGGGGAAAAAAAAAAAAAAAAATTCCCATAGAAGAGAATCATTCAACTCTATAGAAAGGTAGGGCAATATTTATACAATCAAAATATGGCACTCCATGTCTTTGATTCTGAAAGGAAGTGTTCTGAACAGTAAATCCCTACCACTTGAGGAAGTAGGAGGACAAAAATGATATTTAATTTTCTTTTTCCAAATATTTCATTTATTATTTTTATGTGTATGTGTGTATTGCCTGCATGTAGGTAAGTGCACCCATGTCATGCAATGCCCGCAGAGGACAGAAGAGGCTATCAGATCCCCTGGAACTGGAGTTACGGACAGTTTTAGCTGCCATGTGGGTGCTGCAACTTTCAAACTAATAAAAAAAAACTACCTTAAAAATAATTTGGAAGGAAATTACATTGAGTTCTTTTAATGTCACTTGAAGAAATGAAAGACTAAATGGAGGTACAAAGGGAAAGAGAAGGACAGATTTGCTATCACCTGTTCTCAGCGAGAGAAGCCACCCCCCAACCCTCAGCATTTGTTGAAAAATTCTGTCCATGTATTCACTTCAGGGAATAAACACAACACTGAAAATATCAAACAAAAGTACCCATTTCAATGTTGAAGAAACAACAAATCTAGGATACAAATATTTATCAAGGAACAAGGTAAGATCTCTAACTTTCTGAGAGATACTTTCCAAAAAGAGAATGCAATTCAAAGGAGATATGAGTGCCAAAAAGTCCTTAATTAAAACAAGGACAGCCAGGATTGCAAGCACTGACAGGTGGCACAGCTCCTGATAACCTTATCATCAAGCTGGGTTAATGCTAGATCTGGTTCTCATGTTGATATTGTTAGATGAAAATGTCTAGTGGAAAGAAGTTAGAATAAGGAGTATTTTTAATTTTTAAAAAATTATTCTGTTTCTCCCTTTCTTGTCCTAACCCTGATACCCTCTCCCAGAGTTCATGTATTTTTTTTCTCTATGTTAAAGAAAATATGACACACTGATTCTAATCTTACTAGTTTTCCATTTGTTTTGCCTCAGCTCCTACATTAATCCAAACAATAAGGGCCTTTAAAACATTCATAAATAACCTACCGCTGCTGGCACCTAGGAGCCAAGCGTGCAATGCTAAGGAACAACAAATTTCATAGTTCATGGGGCACAGTTAAGGAAAAAGGTTGCTCAGAAAATCATTCTTATTTAGCACAAAGATGCTTAAAAATTGCATGAAATCAGTCAAGTAACTATAGAAACCAATTTCTTCAGCTCCATATCACACGTCTCACACCTCAATTGTCTTTATTATCATCTGCTGTCAGATCCTTAACCAGAAATGTGAACAGGCTTGATGATTTATTCAGGAGGGAAAAAAATTCGTGGGTCAAGTGAAAATTCACACAAACACGCACATGCGTGCGCACGCACACACACACACACACACACACACACACACACACAAAATCTTCAACCTTAGGTACTTTCATTTCATTCTGTTCTCAGCAGCTCTGGGGGCAACTCCAGTGAGATCCAATATTAAGGCTCAATTAAAATAAGCTCCAATTAGTGGAGCTTTTTTCTCTGAGGCTAGAAAAGTCAGGAAATGGATATTGGGAAATGTAAAAAGTCAGCTACTGAGAGGAGGCTGCAGACATAAATGAACTTATTTGTTGATTTCTACAGTTGCTATGCAGAGGCCTCTGGGAGTAAAAGCTTAACCAGTCTAAGCTATAAACTAAAACCCCTGCAGCTAAACATGAACTGTGTGAAACAAGGGCTCCATTCCAGAACAGAAAACTGCTGGGCCCAGAAAATTAAAAGCCAGAGGCATTTTCCATTTAAAACTAAATCCCAGTACCGCCTCCCAGCCAAAGAATTATAAGCAGTATCAGATTTACAAAACGAACAATTACCCTGAAAAAATGTAGCCTATTGTACAGTCCCAGATGCTAAATCTCAAAGTTTCTTTCTTTTTTTTAATCCCATACTATATTTCTCCAAGTACATTGCTGCAGTTTACAAAGAGCCATTTCCAGACAGGCCTAAGCCTTGAAAATAAATTTTAAAAAGAGAGCACATAACTCATTGACCTCATTTGAAGTACTGCCCTTGCCTTCAGCAGTTTCTGTCCTTCCCCAAGGCTTCTGCAAATGGTATGCAATAGTAAAATAAACCCTGACCTAATTGCCAAGAGAGAGCTGCCAACCTTCCCTTAAACTCAAAGAGCAGCACGGTAACTTGAAAGTCCTACCTCTTTGGCTTTCTGCTTTAATCTCAGCTGTTCTGGATCTTCTTTATTGGAGCGACTCTGTCAAAGGAAAAGAAAATTTTAATAGAAATCATGGGCATCTAAACAGCAGTGTTGCATTAAATATTTAATAAATGATTTCTCTTGTGATTGAAAATCCTAGCTCCAGGGCCAATGCCTCAATCCAGTCTGCCTGCACTCCTGCCCCTGCTCCCCCTCATCATCTGGGCTGGCTGCTGCACTCCCAGCCTGGAGGAAGTGCATACTGAAAATGATGCCAGCGCTGTCAGTCAGGTCCAGTTGAGGCAGTGCTGGAACACTGGAAAAACAGAAAAAAAATGGATTGAAAGGAAAAGAACTGTGGGCTCAGGTGAAGGAAAACAACCAATGTGCGCTTAGCTTAGGTGAAGCCGTTTTAGAAAAATATATGGTATTTCAAGGACTATTAGAATCAAGAGCCCAACTAGCCTTGAACCAAATCATTCTCTTAAGGAGCATAATTTCTGAAAAGCATAAGCAGGAAATACATTGCAGTACTTTTATTAGAGTATCTTAGTTTTGGGTCCTCAACAGCAGTTAATAAAAAGATACTGTTGATGCTGATAAATACTATAAAGTGAGAGTGAGGAATGTGGTAGGTACTTCTCCAGTGAAGGTGAGCAACATTTGAGAACAAATCTGACAAGAAAGAGGCTTCCATGTGAAAATATTAAGGTAGAACATTCAAGCAGACTCAGTGAATGCCAAATCCTGAAAATGACAGCAAGCCTGGACACAGCTGGAGCAGAGAATGTCCATGTGGCTTGAAGGATACACAAAATTTGAAGGACAGAAAGGCTGGAGGTAAGTGTTGCTTGTAGGTTAGTATTTTTAGAGCATTTATATTCTTTTTTAAAACATTTTTATTCCAGCTGGGCATGGTGGCTCACACCTTTAGTCCCAGCACTTGGGAGGCAGAGGCAGGAAGATCTCTGTGAGTTCCAGGCCAGCATGGTCTACATAGTGAGTTCCAGGCCAGCTGGGGTTACAGGGAAACCCTGTCTTAAAAAGACTGGAAAAAAATTTTTTTTATTCCATTTATTTACTGTTTACATGGAGGGATGGGAGAGTGTACCTGTGCCATGGCACACATGTAGACAACTTGTGGGAAATGGTTCCTACAGTGTTCACAATACTGAGCCCAGAATGAAGGTGCAGGTATCACAATGAAGAGACTTTTCTCAAACAACTGCTAAAACGAGTGAGTGACAGGGAGAAAAAGGACAGCAGCTTTCACTAGCATTACAGCTAAGATAACAACAATAAATAGACTCAAAACACATTTCACAGGTAAAGCCAGCCAAATTTGTTGATGGATTAGATATAGTTACAAAACAAAGAGGAAACAAGGATGACATCTAGGGTTCTGGCCTGAACAACTCTTCCAACTTTCTGAGAAAGAAAGATCTAATTAATGAGGAGCACATTTTGGGAAAAGACACTCAACTGTCAGATGATGCCTAATCAGAGGCTTACTACATTAAAGTTTAGACAAGCTTGGATCAGGAAAGTTGATATGATGAGTGAGGCCAGCTCATGGAAGGTGCAAGGGGCCAGATAATGTACGGGCTCTTAACACCTGGTAAGAAGTTTGAATAGGGGCTGGCGAGATGACTTAACAGTTAAGAACACTGGTTGTTCTTGCAGAAGACCTGGGTTTGAATCCCAGCACCCACATGGCAGCCAACAACTGTCCGTAACTCCAGTCCCAGGGGAACTGACAGCCTCTTCTGACCTCCATGGGCACTGCATAACACAGGTGCACTTACCTACATGCAGGCAATATAGGCATACACATAAAATTAAAAAAAATAATTTAAAAAATTTTTTTGGAAGTTTGAATAAGCACAAGAAGCTACTAAAGGTCATGTGGTCTTATTATGAAAACATTCTGAGGACAGCATGATGAACGGATGCAGAAGGGAAAGACCATTAGGTATAAGACATAAAAGTCAGGGAAAAATGTCTTAGACTAGAGTGGTGACAGAGGTAATGAAGAGGAGGAGACGGACACCTTGCATAAGTAGAAGAGATAGTGAATTGGATGTGGGCATAGAGGAGAAACAGAGACACTGATTACGATTTCTAAGATTCTTTGCTTGAATATATAGGTCAATTAGTGTGTTATTCACTGAGTTAGAATAAGCCAAATTAGAAGTGAGAAAAGTCTGTTTGGACACAAAATCTGAGAGTCTCATTAGCCAGCAAAGTGACATCAAACAAGCAGTTAGCTGCAGAAGCCCATTTCAGATTAGGCTGAACAAGAAGTACAATCTTGAAGAGGAAGGTGGAGACCTAAAACCTGGGACACCGCAATATTTACAGCTCCGTCTGGAAAAGGAGGAAAAAACCAAGAGACTGACAGTATAATACCTTACATAGAGTACTAACTACACTAGTATTTAATAGTTTATAACCTTATTTATTGCATAGCAATTAGAAACAAAGAACCAATAAACTTTCTCATTAGCAAGTCTGAGTGCTTGTATACAACACTTGTAGGATCAAGGATCCTTTCCAGTCCCAATTCCTGCCCTTCCCAGGAAAGGGGTCAGTACTAGGGCTTAGAAGGCAGATAGCTGCATGGTGGCAGCACTACGATGCTCACATCCTTGGGTAGGTGTGGGGTGCCTCACAGAGACATGGGCTAGTGGGCATGATGGCCACTAGCATGGGTAATGAAATGGGGATGAACAAACAGCAGTAGACAGGAGCCAAGTATTATGGTTGGCCAACACATTAATCACACTGCTCAAATAAACAAACTGATCGAGGAAAATTAAATGTCAATAATAATAGGAGCTCATTTTCTGACTCCTGGAGAAATCTTTTTAAACATTTATGTTGTATGTGTGTATGTGTACTCATTCACACACACCACAGAGCAAGTTTGAAGGTCAAAGTATATAACTTGCAGGAGTTGGTTGCCTCCTATCACCATATAGGTCCAGTAACCAAGCTCTGTTCATCAGGCTTGGCAACCAGTGTCTTTACCCACTGAGCCATCTCACTGGCATGAGTTTTATAAATACAAAAGTGTTAAGGGTATTGTGGTGGTTTCAATGAAAATGTTCCCAAGAGGCTCCAAGTATTTGGACATTTTGTCCCCAGATGATGGCGCTGTTTTGGGAGGTTTTAGAAGGTGTGGCTATCCTGGAGGAAGCACATCACTAGGGGTGGGCTGAGAGAGTTCTTAAGCCTTGCCAGATATCTGGTTGCTCTCTTGCTTCCTGTGCCTGCATGATGTGAGAGCTTAGCTTCTGCTGTTCCTGCGCCAGCCACCTCCAACCACCATGCCTCCCTGCCATGATAACTGTAATTCCACTGGAACTGTAAGCTCAAATAAACTCTTCCTTCTATAAATTGCTTGGGTCAGTGTCTCTATTACAGCAATTGGAAAAAGTGATCTATACAGGTATGAAAAACACTGAGGAACAGAACTGGAGCAGGAGGAATCCATAGGAACTCATGGTTCTACAATATACACAGGGAAATACAGAAAACAGTAAAGATATGTGTATGTGTACACATACATACATCATACAAATATTTCCTAGAGGTACCCGCTGACAGGTCCTACATGTAATGACTCGCTCTTATCAATGGGAGCACTGTGAGCTCTAATATTAGTTCTAACTATCACTTCCAAGTAAAAGGGAGCAGGAATACCTATAGAAACGCCTGGTTCTGGGATGGAGGCAGAAAGGGTAAAAGCTAGGCCTGGAATATCTTGTGACAAGTTATGACATGCTCAGTGAGTGACAGACATATGGGCTGAAGTACCAGCTTGGACTGGTCTCCCACTTAAGAAACATTTTGAACATCAAAATAAATAATAGTAAGAAAGTATAGGCGATTGAATCAGAAACACACAGACTCATGTTTACAGAAGCAAGGGAAAAAGAAACCCTTTTCCTACAGCAGAGTGCTGAAGCCTGAAGGAGAGTTAATGCAAATAATCAGCACTGGCACCACCACTATAGTGCCTGATAAAGGATGACGCTAAGGCTGAGACATGCAAGTTAGAAGAGGAAAGACATGTTAATATATTAGAATATGAAGCTGCTCTATGAACAACTGAAAAAATGACACAGGAAAATGGTCAATTTAAAAATGGAGAGAACTGCTGAACAACTACAAGACCAGGTTATCAGGCTGACTTTGGAGATGATTAGCTGAGACAAATTTAGTCATCTCTGTAGACTCCTGCTAGGAGTGCACAGCTTATATTAAGTCATAAGGAAACAGCAGAGGCATCCAGGCTGCGGTCATGCTGTAGAGGTACGGTCTTGAAAACTGTTTTGTGCATCAATGCATAAGAAAGACTGATTAAAGAAACGTGAAAAGGGGCAACAACTAAATGCAATGCATGTTTCTGAATAGGAAAAAGGAACATAAAGGAAAGAGATAACAGAAGTTAAAAACGCTGGAGACGCTTGTACAGGCATCTGTGCGGTAACAGCAGTGCTATGCTGCTGGCTTCCTGGCCCGGCAGAGTACTTGTCTCTGCAAAGACACACTATATTGTTTGAGTGGCAGGTCTTTATGTCTGAGGACATGTATGTGTGTGAGTGGGCATGTGAGTGTATGTGTAGGGGTACACAAGGGTAAGGAAGAAGATAGAGATCGAACAACTGCAATAAATTTGAAAACAATGAGAGAATCTGGGGAAAGGTTAAAAATGAATAGTTCTGATACTAGTAGGTATGAAATTTCTTCAAAAATCAATTGAATAGTCAATTGGAGCCAGGTATGGCAGTTCAAGCCAGCCTGGGCTACATTCTACAAATAACCTGCCTCATCATGGCAGAATCAAGAAAATAAGGATAGCAATTGTGGGCAGGGCATGGTGGAGCACACCTTTTAAAAAAAAATTTAATGTGTTTGAATATTTGTCTGCATGTATGTAAGGGCACCCACAGTGTGCAAAGCCTGTGTAGGCCAGAGTATGGCGGAGCCCCAGGAACTGGAGTTAAATATGGTTGTTAGCTTCCATGTGGGTGTTGGGAATTAAACTCGGGTCCTATGCAAGAACAGCTAGTGCTCTAATCACTGAGTCATCTCTCTGACCCCAAGCACACCTTTAATATCAGCACTTGGGAGGCCAAGGGAGGGAGATCTCTGAGTTGGAGGCCAGACTGGTCTATATAGAGTTCCAGTCCAGTCAGGGCTATATAGTAAAACCCTGTCTAAAACAACAAAACAAAACATAACCAATAGGTATGTAGTTAGGAACAAATAATCTTTCAGGAGCATTAGACATTAAAAGTAAGATACTTAAAGTTATGGCTCTGGTCTTGAGCCTTTACAACTTCCCTGCAAACTCCTCTCTGTGAAGGAGTGTGGTCGCACAAAGTGCCACCTGCAGTGGATTAAGTGTTAATTTGGTACTCTGGCATTACTAGTCTTGGGAAACAGTTAAAAAGGAAATCTATAGGTTAACCGTGCATGTAACCCTCTTTAGTCTTTCTATTCCCCATTTCCCATTTTGTTCCATATGTCCCAAATCATTACTAATTTTACTATCATTTTCTTTAAAAAAAAATTTCTGAACTACAACCTGGCACATATCAAGTCAGATCCTAAAAGAATGTGGTGGCGCACCCCTTTAATCCCAGCACTCAGGGAGGCAGAGGCAGGCGGATCTCTGTGAGTTCAAGGCCAGCCTGGTCTACATAGTGAGTTCCAGGACAGCTGGGGCTACAGGGAGACCCTGACT